CCCCAAAACCCCAAAACCCCAAAACCCCAAAACCCCATAATTTGAGCTGTCAGTTGAAAAATATGTTAAAAATTATATAAGTAAATTTAAATAGACATATTATGAAACCTACGCAGGTATGTCCATTCACTGCCAGGTGGGGAATCTGGGCTCTTAGAATATTTTAGTGACTAGAGAAAAGAGGGTTTGGGAAGAAAATAAGGGCCTGGACTTTTGCAGTTGGGTTCTCTGAAGGCTATCCGGCAACAAGGCTTATTGGGAATGACAATTTTTGTAGGGTTTGGAGTCCAAGAAAGCCGTTTGAGGGGAATTAGAGTACTTTGGGATGAAAGTGCATACTTTTTGCATATAAGCTTTATTTTTGATCTAAATTTTCATAGCATTTGACCCATTTGGGCAATAAACAAACCTTAAGGACTTATAACAGAGTGAAATCAGCAATGGGGTTCAATAGACCTCTTGAACGGAACTCTAAATAATAAGAAGAATTATAAAAAGCACAGCGAATACGTCAATGAAGAGATAGTATACAAAAATAGGGAAACTGATTCCATCGAAAAAGAGCATATACTTTCTACTTCCCGTTCAAACTTAAATATCAAAGATCAGGAATTAATGAGAGAATCTCTTAAAGACCCCAGATTGTCCAAAAAGGTATGATTTATAGTGTAAATAGCATAGTTCCCTGCTTCAAAGTCTCGAAATGAATTTGGTGAGAAGGTATCTCTGACCATATTTTCCCTGAAAGATGCAGTTAACAAGACTGGAAGAGGTATAAAATCATCTAGGATGAGCGGGAATGGATCTCAAATGAGCCTAATACCTTCAAAAACTAAAAATCATTTCAAAAAGCCAAAGAATTCTGCACTTTATGAAGCCAGCATAAACCTTCCAAAAGCAGAATCTCAATGCAAACGGTACAAAAAGCAAATAAAGCCAGTTCTAAGAAAGAGCCATGAGCGTTCAAAATCTAATCTCAAAGCAGTCAGTGAGTCTGTAGTCCAGACTTTTGATGGGTTTGTTAGGACTCTGATTAACTTCAAGACTGACCTACTCAGCCTTCAACACAATGACAGATACTCCTCAGAGACAGAAAACTTAGTAAAATTGATTCAGAAATATTTGGAAAAATGTAACAGAATCCAAATGAAATAGCTCTGTTTCAAAGAACCCCTCAATTTCAAAAATAAAGGCTCACGCTGAGAACCCCTCAGCCATGGAATACTTTGAGAATGATAACTTTGTCGACCTTCTCGAAGAGAAGGACAAAAAGTGTGCTGAATACGCATCCAAGTATAAAAAGGCTAAGCAGGACCGAGAGAATCTCCTTGAAAGAATAGCAATTTTAGAATCTGATAACAAAGAAATGGAGCGGCAGCTTACTATTAATAAGAAGCATGAAGAGATTGAAACCATTTTTAGTAAACTAAGCAGCCTGATACTTTCTTCCAACGTTGATGTTACTTCTGCCCTAAAGCATAGTGAGAAGGAGGTGATTAATAACCTCCTAGGAGGTAAGCAATGGCCTTAGACTGAGTTTTATATTTTAGACTCCAAGCAGGCTCCTTTAGTGGACATAATGAACACAAATCCCAGTACAATTTTGAAGCAGAACACAAGTATTTTCGAGACTATTGAGGATGAATTCAGCATTCCCCCATTCAAACACTCTAATACCAATGTGAGTAGCTTTTCCACTTATAAAGGACAGTCTATGAATAGTTGAGGGACTAGGAAGAGGAATAAAAGAGGCAAGAGAGAACTTCTACATTGTAAATCGATAGATCTTCTCAATAACATCGAAAAGTTGAATTCCCTTCAAGATGATCAGATGAGTACGAATGATGGCAAGCCAGGATGCCGTAAGAAAAAGGTCAGAATTAATGATCTTTACAGCATTATTCACTGACAAGCAAAGTTAATGGAGGAGAACTATTTGGTATAATTTTTCAATCCCAGTTCTTTAATCAGGGGTTTTGGGGTTTTGGGGTTTTGGGG